GAATGAAGATGCTTGAACTGTAGTGTGATTTGAAATATGTAATTCTTTAAAGTCCTGACCGGGTCGAGGTTGGTCGATGGCCCGGGGCTTCCCATTTTCTTATGTCCCTATTTTTTAAATAACCTACCTAAAGTATTGTAGGTAAAATATGCCTTTTTGGAATATATGTTTATAAATAGAAAGTAATGAGATTAAAATATAATTTGGAAAAGATTCCTTTGATTTCTCACTCAACGGCAGCACCTCATTTGTCTGTTGGCCAATGGTTATTTGTTATTTAATACAAGCCTGAGCAAATCGAATAAGAAACGACTCAAAATCTCCCATTTCTTTGTTTTTCAGTCGCAAAAAGTCTTTCAAACACACAAGGAATACCAAAAACATAAGGAATACCAAACAGGAATCAAGAAACAATGCTCTCGAGTCCCTGGAATCTATTAGTTATTGTATTATCACAAACAAAGCTGAGATTTTTCCATCTCTAATCACTCGGATTTCAAGTATATATGTGTATGCTTCTACGTTCTTACTTTTCAAAGGCTTTATTACTTCAAGTGCATTAATGATATCAAAAAATAATTATTGGATTATGCATGGGTATTGTGATTAGTGGTTTGAAAGTTTAGTTGTAATTGTGAATTTATTTGGTGGGTTAATGACTATCAAACATCAAATAATCAATTCTATTTTACTATTAATGAATAATGATATTCAATTGAGATTTTTTTTGGTTGAACTTTTAAACTTTTTTTTTTTGGATTTCCAATTTGAAAAGTAAAATGTTTAATGTTTTGGGAACGTCCAATTACAACATTTGACTTGAAAAACTGTCTAATAAAAGAAATATCATCCAAAAAAACTACATGATATTATAATGTTCGGAACATGTTGGTTTTAATTATTCCGATAGTCAAATTAGCCAAAAATTAACCTCATGTTGATGCTATAAAATAAAATAAAATATGTCCTTTGTTTTTTCATCAATCAACCCAACTAATGTATTGTCTACAAAAAAAGTAACAATGTACTTGAAAATAAGATGCTGTAATAAACAAATCAACGAATGTACATTGCTCCAAATGCATTGTGTACATAAAATTAAACAATTTCATAAACAAACATAAAGATCATTGGGTTGATTATTAATAATGATTTGTCTATTATGAGTTTTATTTCTTTTATTTCAACTAGATGCAAGGAAAAGCTCATTTGATGATCTTCATGAACAATGTATGTATTTTTAATAAGAAAAATATTTTTTACTTATCTAAAAAATTTTAAAATATGTTAGAAACTACATTCATTTGGTAAAATATAAAATCGATCCATTTTTTTTAAAAATCCATCAACCCAACCTACGGACCGATATAACACTAGTATTGTAGAGGTTTGAACCGATCCTTAATCCAAGCGTCAAAAAGTTTAGACTCTTTCTTTATTCTTTTTCTTTTGGACGTGAACATAATACTTTATCAAACAATTAAATACTGAAAAATAATAATTATAAAAATCTAGTAAACAAATAATCCATAATTTACTAGCACATAGAAAGAAAATCCCCTGCTCTAATAAATAAAACCATTTTTGTCATGTGGCATCTCTTCAATTCATAAATTTTCAAAGTAAATTACCCATTATGCCCTTACGAAATATCCCCAAAATTTTGATTGGTTTATTTCCCTAAATCACGTCTCCTTCAATTTCGCTTCTTGATTTTGGAAAGTAGATATTGATTCAAATTTTGAAATTCTCAAATCTATGATGGAAACATCGATTCCCCTTTACCATTTACCTGTAATTGATTGCTCAAAACCGGTAGGCAACTCCACCGTTCTCTCTTAAGCCAATCAATGACTTCAAGAGTTCTAACAGGAAATCGATGCTTGGCAGGTTCGTATAATCATATTTCAGCAACGACTTCAAATAATTTTCTTTTTTATTTTTTTGTCAACTACAATGATTTTACATCCCAATTTCATTCTATTTGGTATAAACATATGATTTTTGATTCTTGATTCAGAAATTGATGTATGTGTGGTCGGTGATTACTATGATTGGCAGATGATATGAAGATCGATCCTTATGATAAAGATGAACATACTGGTTATTTGAGATATGTTCTGGACTATTTAAAAATATCTCCGAAGTCAAAATTGAAATAATTGTTTGTAAATTTACAGGCAGAGTACAAGTTTTTATTGTAAAACTTCAGCAAGTTTTCAAAAGTGAAACTTCAGCAAGTTTTCAAAAGTTAAAGAACTTAGCTATTGTAATAGTTTTTAACCTCTCTCTCCTGTAAATATTGTAATGTCAACTTAAAGTCTCTATGAAATAAGCAAACCTTTAAGGAAAAAGATGAAAAAAAACCTTAGATTTTAAATTTCACTCTTCTATGTGTTACTATATGTTTGTTTGACTGATTGTTTGAGACTTTTGATTATGTGTATGTGATCTTGTCTATGCGTTCTGTGTGTTATTATGTGTTTGTTCGACTCACCAATTTTTGATAAAAAAAAGTCTTTGATGAAGTTTTAGTATAAATAGATTTATCGAGAGGGCAAATATACATTTTTCATACCAAAAGACATTTTCCATTTAGAGCAACTCAGCAGGTAGGAAGCGGACCCAAGGGTAAAATGGTCAGATAATGAAAAAATGAAGCAGTGACAAACCCAATATGTCTAAAACAGGAGTATAAACTCAACAACTTTAAATAACTTCTATTAAATTCCAGACTCACTTTATTTTCTTCATTTTGATACGAGTGGAGTCTAAGTGTGTATAGGACAGGGACAACTGTCTAATAAGGGGGAAGAGACAAAGTTTAATATGGGTTTGTAATTTTGTATACAAAGTAAAACATTTTTTTTACAAAATTTAGTGTGCGTTTGTATACTAAATTTATGTGAAATGTCCATGTGATATTCGCCTATTCTATACAAATTAGTAGTTGAACCAGATCCTTCAACAATTTTTAGAATGTTTATACAGTCAAATAATTTATGGATCATGCATTAAAATATCACCACACAACTTACAAACCTAAACCTAATCACATATTAATCATTTTAGTTCATCAATTTCATATTTTACTCACTCACACAAGTTGATTGACATATTCCATAGTTTATGTTTTCATAATGAAAACATATATGACAGTAATTTGTAATTTATTGTCTTGTGTTTAGGTAACTTTATTATTTTTAATAAAATTTTATAAATCTTTTACCCATGGTTTCCACGGGTTGTAACCTAGTATAAATAATATTTAACTCGAGCAAATCAAATATTGTCATTTATCTTTACCACACGAGTTTGCATGCATGTATAATCTGAAATCTAAGATCACGCACATTTGTCAAATTTTGCTAGTTATTGTTGGATTTTTTTTTTAATTTTATTATTATTTTTTGTTATATGTATATTTAACAAAAATAGTTGAAAGTTTTTAAAGACAATTCTAGAAATTAGTTAAAAAATATTAATAATTTTTTTTAAACGCTACATGATTATAATTTTTAGATTTATATTTTTGTTCAAATTAAAAACTAAAAAATCGTAAGAAAAGATATCTGGTAAAGTTAAAAAGTGTTTCTCAAATTGCTCGTGGTTGTTTCACTAATTAAGGTGACTCGATAAAGCCATTTTCGCAATAACGATGACAATTTTGTGATAAACATGTAAAACGTGATTACTTTTTAATAATACAAGGTTTGTTTTGGTTATCTTTGTGATTAGTCGGACTTATCTTAATTTTATGCATAATTATCATTATGAAGAAATTAAATATTTTTTACATTTTCTTACTACAAATCTTTTTACCCAATTAAATAACGATATGGGTAACATTTAATGATTATTTAATGATATTTTACTATATTAATATAACACATGTCATTATTTAAATGGATAGGATGATTGATAGGAACAAAAAATAATAAGATATAAACGGATATTTAATTTCTCTTATGATAATTACAAACTTATTATATTCCGATGATCATGTAAAGAAGATTACATTTGATATTTTACTTGTTTCTAGTCTAATTAATGTTGCACAGCCAAGTTTTCACAAACTAAAACTCGACAAATATATATATATATATATATATATA